AAATGTCTTTTCTTTTCAGCACAGTTCTCCCATCAATCTTTATAGATGACCAGATGTCAGAAAACCGGTTTGTCCCCTCAATAAATAAATCCACGCGACATTACAAAAACTGTCAGGTACAAGACTTCGACCCACCACCAAAGCATATGAAAAAGGTAAAGTACACTAATAAATGTCAGAAGTCTTTCAAATACGTTTCTCAAGACAATTTAAGGAAATCGTAATTTCCAATATTTCTTCATAGTTATGACACTAACCGAAGGCCAGAACCTGAGTGTTGTCGAAGTATTTTTGTTGTGTTTATTGACTCCGAAAAATCTAAAGCTTTCAGAAAAGAAACTTGAAAATCAAGCAGAACTATTCTATGTTCGGTGTTATCAAAAGAAAAGTGAAAAACGCTGTTTTCTGTTCCATAAGCACACACACACACACACACATATATATATATCGCATGTATAAATTTTTAATGCTACTATAGCTAGTTATTTAATGCCATAAAATTCATTTTTCACAATCAATAACAGATCATTAACCAAGTTTAATATTTCCTATGCACATTATTAATGAAAACTGAATATTTCGGGTTAGAAGTTTCATGTTCCTCATATTTATTATTGAAAGGTAAACAACGAATATTGCACATAGCAAGTTTCATATTCCTGGTGTTTATTATTGAAAAAAAAGCAGCGAATATTCCAATTTCAAGTTATATGTTTCTAATGTTTTTTATTGAATGGAACAATGTTTCTAACTTTCGATACTTACAGGAACAGTAGAAATTTCAGTTAACAAGTTTCATGTTGCTGACGTTCATTACTGACTGGAATAAGGGACTTTTTAGTTAACAAATTTCATATCTCTGAACTTTATTACTTATTGGAATAGCAAATAGCCCAAAGAAAAAACTATGTTTTTGACACTCATCGCTCATGTGGGTAGATTCTGTAAAACTTGAAAATTAATGCCCAGATGAACTAAACATTAAAAAATCTTTTAATGGCAGGAACTTGAAAAATAGAAACCCTTTTCATAGAAATCTTTTCGTAAATTTTATTCTAATTCCATGACGTAACATGTTTATTTTGTGAATTAAAATCAACATTTTTCAGATGTTGACCATCTAAAACAAAAACAAAAAACAAATATTTTACAAGGATATTTTTCTTTTTTTCACAATTATTAGAAAATGATGATGTTACTTTCTGAAAGAAAATATATAATTTAGTAGTATATCATAAAATCTCACTTTTCTTTTTATCATTACATATCATCGTAATCTATTCAGCCGCTTAGGTTGTCTTAAAAAATCTAATTCTTCTGAAAGCTACTTGTTCCCATCATCATTTGCTCGGCAGCCTTAATTGCCTTATTTATAACACTGAAAATCTTATGTTTTTGCTCTTTACCACTACTCATTACTCTGCACAACGATTCCAATGTTATTGTTTTGCTATTTACCAGTTTAACCATGATCGTATTAAGTAGTTTCAACTTAACTATTATAAGGTTATAATTCATGGATATTTGTAATCGAATAGACAGTATTTGAAATAATTACAGAAACAGTGAAGTAAATGCGAATATTATAGGACTGCTTCTATTGAATGAAAATGAGCTGAAGCAGAATACAGTCACGTTCTGATAGTTTACACTGTGGTTGGCTGTCACCCAACCAATCAGACAGTACTGCACCAGCGTAATGGGGGTTTGGGGTGCGAACCCCCTTCCCTCCACTTCCACCGGAGTTCCGCTCGTCTATTAACATTCATTTTGTTCCTTTCTTTGATGATGGTCTCTCGTTATACAATTGCGTTTGTAACACTTTGCATACAGGAGGAAATAATACTTTTATACTTATCAGGGGAAATTTTCTAAAAATGTTTATTTGCAGTGATAATAAAGGAACCATTACATATTTCGGATTTTTTTCCGTCCCTGGGCACTAAAGTTACACGTGAAACAAGTTCCACTTTGGACCAAAAAGAACCCCACACTTAAAATTGGCATAAATTAGCCACCACCTATACGATTGTAAGTCATCCATACGGGCATGACATGCAGTCATACTATTCCCAGTAGTATAATGGCTTCAAATATAAACCAGTTAAATATAAAATAACTATCACTTTCACCAAATGGATCGCGACCTTTCTGGAAAATCGAACACCTAAAATTAAAATTAAAAATGCCGTCTCTCAACTATTCATTTTTAATGCTGGAGTACCTCAAGGTTCCGTCATCAGTCCGCTCCTCTATACTTTATTTGTTAATGACATTCCTATACCTGTCATACCTCTTACATACGCATCTCAATATGTAAACGATATCGCAATTTCAGCATTTCCAGGGACCTGATATTCGTTGCTTCAAAACTACAAATATTATTGAATATAATATAAATATAAATAATATAAATATGGTGATATAAATGACGAATTATCCTTAATTGACAAAGTCACAATCTTTAATCTTCCGTAGGAGTCTAAACTGAAAGTCCAAATGAACAAGAAACTTTATCTTTATCTTTATCGCACTTCCATCCCCTTTTCGAAAACAGTAACATTTCTAGGCATTACTTTAAATCATAACCTTACCTGACATTCCTATGTTAAAGAAATTTCAAAAATCTCCATGCCAGGAAAATTAGCCATCACATACAGAATTGTAAGTCATCCACAATACTTTACATATACAAAGCTTTCATCAGACCCATTCTGGAATATGGCTGCATGCTAACATGTAACATGGAGAAACAACATCTCTCATCTCTACAAAAACTGCAAAATCGCATTATACGCTTAGCATACCATCTTCTATCTTATACAGCAGCTTGCTACATAGAGAAACACACAAATCTGACCCCCAGTAAAAACTAGATTAATCAATCTCGCAATTAAATATAATAAAAATTCATTAATCGAAACTCAATCACTTCACTTTTCCCCACCATTGCCGCCACCCACAAACATCAAGAAAGTATATATCCCCATACAATTTTATTCACGAAGGTAACAATCTTCCTTAAATATAATAACTACATGTCTATATCCTTAAAAAGGTTTCGATTTGGATTCACAGCAGCTGTTTGGTGATTCGCTCACTCATGGTTCCAGGACAGAAATTCCACACCACAAATGTATAGAAATCAAAGACTACTTGCACAGATTAGTGCGAAATTTCATGTTTCAGTCGGAGATATACGGAAAATTTAAAGAAAGTGCTTGAAACTAGTAAAATGTTGGTAATACAAGTGAGGCTGTTAAAAGTAACTGAGTGTATGGTCTTTACATGAAACACAACAATCCAGTAGAGATCTTGCCAATGATCTAGATGTAAATACAGACGTTAATATTAACTCTCTGTAACAATAAGATAGAAGTTAACAAGAGATGGATTCACTAGATTTATAGCTGCTGAAAATCCACTATTTAAGAAATATTACTGAAACAAAAACTGAAATGGCCATCAGACTTCAAACAATGGGATGAGCAAAGTTGGAGGATGGTGCTCTTTATAGATGAATCCAAATTAATTTTTTTCCCCAAGAATGGTATTATGGTCATCGTACAGCATTTACAATAAAGCGTGCTGGAAGTCCAATTCAAGTATGGACTGCATCTCAGCCATTGGTGTTGGAAACCCTCACAAAACTGATGGCACCGTGACTGCTGACAGGTACAAACAGGTTCTTATCAATCACGTCATTCTTTCATAAAAAAAAAGAGGTCGAGCAAAGATTAATCTCCAGCAAGACAGGGACCTCAAGCATGTTACAAGGGTGGTGAAGTGATACCTGGGATAACACAGGTCGATAGAACACTTGTAACTTTAGCTTGGCCTACACAAAGTCCCCGTATGAATATTATTAAGGATGTATGGGCTCACATAGAAAATTATATGGTCAAATTGAGACAAAAACAAATTTCTCTGAATTGTGAGGACTAGTACAGGAAACTTGAAACAACATTTCACAAACATACATTGATAATCTCATAGTAACATAAAAACAAGATTTGTTTAAAGCATCTACAAAACACTGGTGCATTTTATGACATATTCTCGTTTCTTTTGCATTTTCTGTAATAATTTATTAGTTCTTGCAATAAATTGGCCGTTTATGACCAAGTACTCATTATTTGTAACTTCTGTATATATATCACATGTTTCCACAATTATTTACAATACGGTATATATAGTAACAGAAGACTTTCAGTAATAACCTGTAATGTTTCGCTTCATACTGTAGACATTGACGTTTCATATCTGTCAACACATACCAAGGTTCTCGTCGACTGAAAAAATGTAGGATTTTCCTGCCATTCAGGAATAAATTCAACACTTAATACATTTAGACCAATAATTCATTAGTTTTAGCAAACTACTGCTGCATTTAAAAGTAATTTACTTGTTTCAGTAATTAAATATGATCCATAACTCAGACTTTTAATCTTCAGAACACGTACAAACGTAAGAATTTGGTACATAACCGTTTTTGTACATGGTGACCTTGAAATTCTAATTTGATCAAATTAATCGAGTTTTGCCATCATTCTAAATTATTATTATTACGTATCTTTAAAGTTGCAAATTTTATCGTCAAATTCTACCACCAGAGTTCTATGGTTCTAAGACGTAAGCAGTAATAATCTCAGTTATAGTTATTCTCATCACATACCTTATTAAAAGTTTAGTTAACAGAGATCATAACTTTCTACTATAGACATATTGTCGTCTTTTACACCAAGAAACTTATTTAACAAACACCAAAATTTTCTACTATGGACGTATTGTCGTCTTTTACCTCAAGAGGCTTAGTTAAAAACACCAAAACTTTGTACTATAAACGTATTGTCGTCTTCTACTATCGGAAGCTTAGTTATAAGAGGTCAAAACATTCTACTGAAGAGTTATCGTTTTCGCCTATCCACAGAAATTTATGATTAATAAAGAGAGACCGAAATTTTCTGCTGGTCTAAGAAGTGGGTCATAAAAATTCTCACCTGTTCTGCGCGAACGTTTTCCACGGTAAAATTAAACCACACCCGATGACGAGGATCACATACATCAGGACGAATAAAAAGATCGTACTCATATTCACAGACATAGTCAACTCGGCCAAGGTTACCTGCAGTCAAGTTAAAATAGAATTATCGGGGTAGTCCTGAAGAAGAAATAGTCAATGAAAACGCTTTTAATAAAACAGTCCTAGGGTTTTCTTAGAAAAAATACCTTAAATCGAGATAAGTTTGCTTGGATGGGAAATATAAAACACATGTGATCACTGAAATTGTTAGTGTCGAAATGAGTCGATAGTATATCTAGTTATGAGAAAAACGAGAATGTGAATGGATTTATAATTAATAAATCGGCGACCTTTTTTAAAGGTAAAATAATAAAACACACCGTTCTTGATTATCATTCTTCTGCTCAAAGTATTAAGCAAAAATGGTTGAGTTATAAAGTAAATAAGAGATTAGTCACTCACATAATCATTTCTCTAAAGGCAGAGAAAACAAGGATTACTTCAATGTTATATAAGCAATATATCTCAATGAACAAGTTGAAAAATTGAATAAAATTCATAAAAAAATACACCAAAACTCGAGTGCTTTCGAATAGTTGACTATATTTTATCAGAAGAAAAGAAGAATAATCAATTATTAGAAAGCGCTCGAGTTTTGGGTCTTGTTTCAAAATTCATTGCACCTTTTCTTTGTGATCCTGTGTGCTAATTCTTATCGGAACTTATAATGTTGAAATCAATGAGTCGGGGATTAATGAAAAGAAGAATAACAACAAAACCATAACAAATGAGACCAGTTAATGTGCAACAAAGTGAGACTCCAGTTTATTACCTTATCAAAGGTTATATGGAAGTCGTTTCCCAACTAATGTAAGTAATATTTCAGCAGAACAGTGCCCATCCACACAAAAACACGTAACTGGAGCCTTAAACTCCGTGACTTTCTGAATGAGACCTTCAATGAGTCATCAAGTGTACGCAGAGGGACATATTTCCGAGTCTTTGAATTCACTTAACTTAAACCCATGGGATTTTTCCGTGGAATTCCATACAGATGAGCTTCTACCAATCGCTCAAAGATCTCAGAAGGCATTTTAAAGATATTATAACCAAAGGACCACCAGATATTGCGCTGCAGAAAGTACCTAATCGTTCCGAGCTTTGTCGTGAATGATGTATAAGGATACGTCAAAGCGTTGCAGGCAAATACAATGTATGATTATCTACTGGCTAAAGTTGATCTCGGTGATGTCAAGATGTTTTCAAATGGAGGACATAATTTGTGCTTACTTAATTTAAGTGAAAATAAATTTTTGTTTGTTTTGAATTTCGCGCAAAGCTACACGAGGGCTGTCTGCGCTAGCCGTCCCTAATTTAGCAGTGTAAGACTAGAGGGAAGGCAGCTAGTCATCACCACCCACCGCCAACTCTTGGGCTACTCTTTTACCAACGAATAGTGGGATTGACCGTCACACCCACGGCTGAAAGGGCGAGCATATTTGGTGTGACAGGGATTCGAACTCGCGACCCTCAGATTGCGAGTCGAATGCCTTAACCACCTGGCCATGCCGGGCCATTTGTGAAAATAAATATAAAAAATAATATATTGTATTGCACACAATTATTCAAACATACAAATATCGCATCTTTGTTTCCCTACATCTTAATCCTGGATGTGCTTCCAAATGTTTGAGTAACTGTAGGCGTTCCAAGCATTTGCAAAACTTCTGTACATCTTAAAATTCTAAAACAAGATACTCTGATACATTTTTCTTTTAAATAAAGATTTTCTTAGATATATTTTGTAATGAAAAATGAGTCGCAAACAAACAGTTGGATTCAAGTTTGAGCTGTATGTTAATTAAGAACGCGCAAAGCATTTTTTGAGTTTATTATAAACTGTAACATATTTATTTGTCTAACACATTCTAGAAGAAAGTTTTGCTTGCTATTAACAGTTGCCACTAATCATATTCTAACACAAGATCGCCACTTCGAATATGTTAATCAGCAGCCACTATGATGTCACTAAGTGGTATTTTCTCATCTTAATAAGAGTAATCACTGGGGAGAAGGAGAAAGGCAGAGCTGTAGATGGATGGAAATTTAATTATTCTTTAAAGTGTGAGTGTATGAAATTCTCTTTGTAAATTTATGAGGAAATTATTCAATTCTATTGTGTGTTTTTTACTTCTATTTTCTTAGATGTAATTAACGCATTATAAGTTACCCATGCCAACAACGCTATTATTTTAAGAGCATAACGTACAGTAATGAGTCTACATGCGTCTGAAGGTCAAGTTCTAACGCACTAGAAGTAAAAGGTATTTAGTCGATCGATGTCCACCAGGTGTCGTAATATACCTCAGTTTCCTATAGGGAAATAATCAGGATTATATTTAACAATTTTCTTCTTTTCAAATTAGCCTTAGCTGTATTTCCCTTTTGGCCCAATCCAATAAGACAGTTGGGATTGTATGTCCCAAATCTAATTAGTGTGTTGTGTATTCAATTAGAGTATAATGGATTCTCGAATATACGCAGCACTTGAATGTTATATTACCAAGGAAAACAGATTGGCAACAAATTTAGTAAACACATTGTCAAGTTCTTAATTTAGATAGTTAACAACCGGAACGAGTAAAAGTTCTAGATAGAAAGAACGTGATATGATTCTATACCTTTATGAGCGCTTATTGTTGTATTGTAACAGGTCTTAAAAAGAAACCTTATCTTAGAAAAAGGTGTTTTCAGGTTTACTTTGTGTTTTCCATCTTAGCCGCTAAATGAGACTTTTTCCGAAGCGTTTTGAAGTAGTTTCAGTTATTCATTTATATGTGCATACCTAACATTTCATACTGAAATGTAATCTACGAAAATTTCTGTTTAATGCTCGTTCTTTGTTTCTCTTGGAAACAAATAACAAAAAGGAATTAAATACTAAAAATATGCCATCAAAAGTAAATCCATTTCTTTGAAGCTTTTCGTACTATTTCCATTTTTATGGTAACCATTAGAAGTGTCTTTGTTTTGTTTGATTTTAAGCGCAAAGCCACACAAGGGAATTTCTTTCTGCGTTTTGCCCACTGCGGGTATTATAAGCCCTGAAGCTTACTGTTGAATCACTGGGGAGAGGTTTTAGAGGAGTCAGTGAATACAGGAGTATTTTTAAGTTATCTAAAAAAATAAATCTGACGACTATGCAATAGTTACTGGAATAAAGAGGTGCCAGTAAATACAGGAGTATTTTTATGTTATTAAACAATAAATCTGACGACTATGTTGAATGATCAATCAATCCAGGCGTGTCTCAGAGTACGTGAAGAGTACGGATATTTAATAATAACTACGAAATTAGTTAAAGAGCTTGAAGATAAACTCTCGGAAATATTGTATTAAGAAAAAACAATGAACAGGATATTAACTGCCACAAGGACACTTTCAAAAGATAACATACAAAACATTAGTAGCAGTTTATGAACGAAAAATGACTAAACGGTTGCAACAATTTATCGATTATTCAATGATGCTACAACCGAAACAACATAATATTAGTGCTGAGCGTGTAGAAAAGTATTCTCACAGAACTTCGAGACGTCAAGACGTATTTAGCTGTGTCAAAAATGTTTTGAGTAAAGCTTGCTTTTACTAAGTATATTATTTCGAAATGTTGACTTTAAATACAATGTTCAGATCTTTTCAAGATGGATTTATATGGCTAATCTGCTATATGTAAACACACCATAGACCTACTTATAATACACTAGTATTACATATTAAATGTGTCTTCCTTCTGAGTTTTTTAAGACTAGAATTCTGAAGCATTTTTTTGGGTGTGGTCTTTTCATTTGAGCTTCTACTACATTCCCTAATGGCAGAACATTGAACTGTTAGGATTCTACACATCAGTTCATTTGGCTAATTTTGACCTTACAGAATGACTACGTAGGTTCTAACAAAACAAATCGTTCTATAATAACGATTGGGTGGGGCACTTAATATTAGTAGTATAATAGTCAGTTTTCTCCATTATTATTGTTTTTCTAGAAGAAATGGCGATTCAACTGGATAACTAAAGAAGGAAACATAAATCCTCAAACCGATTTTAGACTTAACCGTATCCTTTTTCTTTTATAGTGAATGTATGACGAATGTGTTTTTAACTAACAATACGCTTAATTTTTGTTCATATATCTATTGAGTGTTAAGAGTTTTTTGTAACTGACTTTTATGAAAGCCTGGAAACAAGAGTAAATACAACAATAAAAGGCCTACTATATTCTATAATTATTTTACTTTCAGCCTTTTACAGTAACCCAAAAAGCGAGAAAAATATTTAAAAGCTATATAAATGTTACCAAGTGTCTGAAATACCGTGAATATAGATTGATATCTTAGGGCAGAAGCTTTGAAGAACTTAACGAATTTTGCTATATATTGCACAGATTGAAAGCAACCATGCATACAGCATACATAACGACACGATTTGGAGATTTGAAATCCCCCCCCCCCCCGAAACCAACAACAACAAAAAAAAACAGTTCATTAACATCACAGTTTAATTTCTTGGCGACCAGCGATTATCAAAGAATGCTTTGTTACCATCCTGATTGAGCGCAAAAGTCTCGTTTACAGAGACTAATGAGAAACAGATAATACTTCGTGACTTTAGATGAAACCTGTGATGGGCATACTAAAAATAACGTGTTTGTAAACAACAGTAGATCAGTGGAATATTTTACGTTACGTGTGGCAAAATGTTATTAGAATAGCTTCAATCATTTAAATGTAAAATACTTTCTAGTTTGATGCAATTTGATGCTGAACTATATATATATATTTCAAACATTTGTTTTTAATTTTACACAATCTGACTTATTTGCAAAAAAAAGTTATTTCTAATATTCTGATATTACATATTAATCAATACTTTTGTACTTTACTCGGTAATTTGCTTTCAAACCAATAGAACAATAATTACGTTTATTTTTACCAAATATTATTCATGAGTACCAAGTTTCATGAGATTAATTGATTAAGAGAAGTTATAAAATCCTCACAGAAAGTTAATCACCAAGTGGTGTAATATAGTATGTAAAAGT